AGGCCCTCCCTTGGGGTCCTCTACAATAATTATAAGCCAGAATTTGATTCTAGGGGGGTCTATTTTCATCTTCCCTTAGTACCTTAAGTTCGAATACCCATTTCTGTAAAACTTAAGTTGTAAATATAATGGAGAATTAGAGACCATAAGATGGGTCATTTGAATGGAAGGCTCCACAAGAAGGACATATTTCTTTTTGGTACACCATTCTTTTTTCTAGGCCTATTTGAATCCTGTATTCTGTTAACTCTCTCTAGATGTGAGAAGATATAATACAAAATAGCAAAATTTTTTTATTGGGCTAAGCGTTTCTATGCTCTCTATCTTAGAATGTTACACTGATCTACTTATAAGCTATGATATGTATGCGTAGGCTGCTTTGATATTTAATGATCCATTGGACTTAAGATACTTGAAGTAGTCTTTAATTCCAATTCCATCCTTCAAGGAATTTTTGGTTAAAGTTTCTTACTTTAGGACATGCTTCATTTTCCTGTGAATAAGAACACCATATTTTACTGATCCTGGAATAAATTTCTGTGGAGTCACTGTGGGAGTGTCATGTGAAATACTTGTACGGTAGTCATGCAACTCCTTGAGATGAATGAAGTTTTAATTCTAAAAATTGTGTTGCTATTCTAAAAAAACCCAGCATCCAGAGCTGGGTAAAGAAACCGATTTCGTTTCTGTTTCGTTTCTAACAACCTCTATTTATTTCGTTTCTGTTTCCGTTTCTGTTCCTCCGATCTCGTTTCTGTTACGTTTCTGCTTCTATTCTGTTTCAATTACGTTACCAATTTCGTTTCTTTTTATTTCTGATACTTTCCGTAAGATTTGAAAATGGCAATAAGATTACCAGCCAAATCTCAAAATGTGCTTGCTCAGGCCAAATCGCTCCCAATTGTTACGCACTAGAAGGATGTCGTCGATTGATGTCGCATACAGGCTTGAATGCTAGGAGCCCGGAACTAACCTAAGTCGGGAGAAATGAAATTTGGGTTCTGGGGATAACCAAGACACGAGCAATTGTCCTTTCATCGAAAGAAACTTCTGCCTTGTTTCTGCCTCCATCTCTCCATTATTTTTCTTGCATCAGCAGTGAAGCCTGAAACAATCTTCATCTGCAAATGTTTCTGGAAAATGTCAGATAGTGAGATCGTTGACAACGTTGCGTCAACGTTGAGCAAGGATGGTTTTTTTTGATGCAGCAAAGGAGTTTGCCCAGTTTTGGCCCCTAAACCATTTTCAAAGAATTGTGTATATTTCAAGAGGGCGTCCTTAGGCAAACCTAAAAATGCAATTCTTTTCCAAGTCTGAGCAGTTTGAAAATGTAGGTTAGATTAAGGTTAGGTTAAGGTTGGGTTAGGTTAGGTTAGGTAAATGGTGAACTTCAGCTAGGAATTGGAAAATCTAGCAAGAATGCTTATATGATTCATGATATAGAGGTTAATGATGCTTAGATATACTAAGATTTTACAAAATACAATTCACTTGTATCTATATTGCTTTTTTCTTAGTAGTCTGGAGTTTCCACGCCTCAAAACTGTTAAAGTATTGGTTCTAATGAAAAAAACTCATGCAAAATAACTTGATCGTAACCTACCCTACCCTAACCTAACGTAATCAAACCCTTCAGATTAGAGTAAAAGTGTTATGCTATCACTATGCGGAGGACACCCTTTCAAATTATATATGATTTATTGAATCTTGTTTAAGGGTCAAAATAACATTATATTGGCATACTCCTTTGTAACATTGCGTAAAAGGTATTTATATGCTACCACAATGCTGAAATGAGACACAGTTCAGCATTTGCGCTGAAGCATGCCCGTGAAAATAGGCCAATGGGTCGCATTGTTACCGCGTTTAACCACCAACGTCTTGGCCTGCTCATTTCCTCAGTATTGAATATTTTATAATAAGTAATAATGATCTGGTATCCTGAAATATTGTTATACCTCTCAGCTTCAAGGTAGTCGAGCAAATACTTCCATCCGTGGTTGTTTCCATGGGAAGCTGGAACTTCCTTACAGGATTAAAATCTTAGTTGTAATAGTAATAACGTACTACGTTCTGTCCGGCAACGATGCTAAGTGTCTGATGTCTTTTGGGCAATTTTCCTCCTTTTGCTGGAGAACAGCCAGACTTAACCTCTGAAGCAAAGTTGCATGACCTCCTTTGGCATTGCCATCCAGAGGGATGTGCCATCCCATTCAAGATTGTCCTGCTTCCCCCGATATCCGGCCCGTGATGAGTACCCAACATTCACTTTTAGGCCCTTGGGCAAGAAGTTTGTGAATCCTTGATCTGAAAGAAATTGAGAAGTTTCCGCCATCACGAAGTGATAGTAAAGACATGGCATGAAGTTTGGAATCTTTAGAATGCCCCCTCGAACCGCCGGGCCAGATATAACTAGAATTTGTTTCCGCCAGATTACAATTTCAAAACTGATATATTAAGGAACTTCAAAGTCTTCTTCGAAGTTGTATGTGTCAAAGTATAGGGTATCCTATCGAAAATTTTACCAACCCATTTCATTGACATCAGGGATGGAATCGTTAAGTCGCCAGTTAGGCGCCATCTCGCTTTTGTTGCTAGTACCTATTTCATGTTATGTAAGAATTCCACATTTGAGCGATATCGATATTGCCTGAGACTACGTGGACAAATCCATAAGAAAACATCCTTCATCTAATGGTGAAGGCAAATTTCAAAACAAATTAGCACTTAATAGCCTCCGAACGACTTCTCTGGCCCATGAGTTATCTCAATCTAAATGTTTAAAAAGGAAATTACGAATAGAAGGAATAAGATTTATTTGCTCTTGATTCTACGTCGATATGTCTACTTCAACCATATCTCAACTGTCGATGTCGACAGGACATCGGAACTTGATGTTGTTGTCTGCAAGCCCTGTCGACCATTTCCTACATCTGAGGGCAGAATATTATGCCCTTAGGGGAAGGAGATAAGGAACTGATCTCGCAGATGTGCATGAAAGGGTGGGTTGTTCACTTAAAGTAATAAGCTGAGTAAAGTCAGGGAAGATCAGTCAGACTTGCATAGGCAGTTCTATTACCTCAATTAGAAATGCCCACTCCAGAAAGCAACCCCCCGGGACAAATAGCAGCACCAATATCGGCAGTAGTAATCCCAATAATGATTCAATATGCATATTCCTAGGCAGGGAATATTGATCGAATATTTGGGTGCTATTGGAGCTACGAGGGACCACTTCGCAGTCTTGGAATTCCAACATAGGCACAACATGAACATGCTACCGGGGAATGTGTTGCTGGTGATATTTACACGACGATTTCGCTGAATTAAATGGTGTCAGGCAAGACTCAATGAATTTATTCATGCAGAAGAATCGTGTGAGGCCAAACTATTCACTGTCCGAGACGACCACACCTTGTCTCTGGGGGCGGGGCTGAATCTTTGTGTCGCTGAAGCATCCTTCTCGGAAGGACCTGACCGAGTTGATCTCGAGATCGGAGAGGTCCGTGTAAAAGCCCACGAACGTTCCAGCCTGGACACTGAGGCATGCACTCGCCCCCAAGAAGTTCGGGAGCCTGGCAGACACGCATTTCCACGGTGATTCGACACTGGATATGCAAAAGCAATTGAGAGAAACGGGGACTCACGTATAGACGGTCCAGTCACTTTCACCCGTGATGATGATGGAGTTTACGTCGTTCATCGGCACATCGGGAAGGTCTGTGATGTCGATATATTCTTCCCCCATGAACAGAAGATGATAGTAAAGTGTGATCGTGTTTGCCATGAAGTTGGTCTTAAGTCCTGCTGACCTACAATGGGAAAACGTGAATCAACGATATATCAACATCTTGTGGATGACGTGAACTCACCTGAGGGATGAGACTTGGTTATCGGTAGGCCCCAAGTTCCAACAGTAACCTAGTCCAAACCACCATTCCACTGTTCCGAATCCTTGAGAGTTGTAGAAAGGTTCACTGTAGAGTATCCAACTGTAAGTAAAGAGCAATGAGAAATGATGATGGAATATGTTCAGTGGGACCGAGAGGACATCACGTTGGTCCCCTATCGGGTCATCATGCACTGTCCTGGCTCATTGGAGGGACATTTGTCCAAAAACTATCGCTTCGAGATCAGTGCCACAAAACAGAATTGAAGTTGTGGAGGATAAAGGAAAGAAAAATTTTCCACGAAACATTTTCAACTGGATTAAATGAGGTCTTGCCGCACTCTTTCGGTGACCATGCAATTCATCAGTCACAATCAATGAAATCTCCCACATAGGTCATGCAAGGCGAGGTCTTCGAGTGAATCGAGAATCCTGGTCATCTTAAAAAGGTGAGGGGTACTCACATGCCGATGACGCATGCACAGGAGATCGCGTTATCTCCGACATTGGGGACACATTGCGAGATGTCAGGGCAATTCTGGGTTATATATTCTCCCTCGCAATTGGGCTCGCTGAAGAAAGTAATGCTCTGCTGGTTTTGACCCCAGCTCTTGCCCAAACTGAAGAGGAACAGAACCACAACTGATAGATTCATGAAATTCGAGAATAGCTTCACCTTCCACGTTCCTTTTCGTTCCAATGCTGTGATCTGACTGCTACAGGTTTCAGATCCCACTGGGCTTTATTCATCATTTTTTATCGCTGAAAAGTCTCTGAAGTGAGACCATGAGAACCTAACATCGGTCTCGACATCAATCCAGGATATACAGGGCATGACAAAAAAGACAAGAATTTTAGCCTGTTCATCTCCGCCATCCCTGTAGCTATTGCCACAACACTTGAGCTGTGCATAGAGTGATACAGTACATTTCCAACAGAAATGTGAAATATCACCCACATTTATTTCGTTAGAGCAAGCTAATGAGCTATAACTGAGAATAAATCACGAACTGAAAATGTACATGGAACTCCCTCAGAGTGCATCGTCTTCTTGTCTCGTTCTCCAAGATCCATTTGAGATTCAATCATATTTGCGTTTGAGCACCAGTACGCATAAATCCCCAAGTTCCATTACATCGCGAACGAGTCCGATGCGACAAATTTGTGTGAATGACTGTCAAGAGCTCGTTAAACGAAATGTTCAACTCTGTACCGCAACGATGGCAATAAATGACATCGAGGTCAATCCAGTCCATAAAGCAATATATCTTTCCGTCAGAGTTGACGACAAGCTTGAATTTACATCTCATTTATAACCAGATACGAAAGAAGGAATTCATTCGATCCTCCTCGATTCAACTCTTTCGATCCACCACTGGTAGTCTCGACCCGATGCAGAAATGCGTTGATGCTTGTGTCCTATCAGCTCTGCTTCATGGACGTCCATGGGGGTCGGTCTTCTATCGAAGGAAACCTCGTATATCAGCTCTTGGGCCCTCAAACATTTGGTTGACACATCGGAAAGACCTGTGTCCAAATACAAACAGAAAATACTAAATTTAATTCAGCTTACGAGAGACGTAGTTCTTACCAGCATGGAGAGTGATGCATTGCATCCAATTTCGCCCTGCTATTGTAGATACTAACGGAACAGTAGAGTCAAAACT